ACATTTCATTGCGTTATCAAGAATTTTTATCGAAGGGGATAACAGTACTCACTCAACAAGACACAAAAACATGTAATATGTGTCAAGGTTAAATTAAACTATTAGGTTAATACCTTGCCTTAATGATAAAACGCCACTTCACATGTATGAAATTATAATTATTTCAATGATGGTTTGATGGTTATTTGCTGGCTTGTTGATCCACTGAGTTTGCAATAATTTTGCTAGTGTTCGTACTATTTTACAATGAATACTATTCCTAATCAAGCACAGTAGTTGATCCAACTGAAAAATATTTTATTTATTTTAACAATGAGTCATGACAGATAGAAAATCCAAGAAAGATAACGAATGAGAAATTAGTAATTTTGCTCTCACAATTGTTTAATCATAAGGGATTGGATTGGTTATCATAGATTTATAACTTAGCCATATTTCTCTTTAGGTAAGTAAAACTTCATGAAAGATCTGAAACGTAAGGTAATCACAGAATCAATGAGTATAATATTTTTTTGAACTTAACTCTATTGTGATATTTAGTGAATGTACGAAGATTTTGACCAATGGTTACGTATAATATACTTAACTAGTGCACCTGTTGCTCGAATTCGAGCAATTTCAAAGTATTCCAGGCGTTATTTCAAAACGAGTAACAGTCATAATTTCCGATTACTTAAAAGAGTCAACTCAAAAATAATGTAATCAATCACTCCACTACAGTTATCAAAACTGAAAACGAACGCTCACTCCACTCCAGTTATCGAAACTGAAAACGAACGCTTTTGTGTGTATCGTGTGTTTACTATGAACAGCTGTAATTAATACATATTATTCGTCTGTTAAATAAACAAAATCTTTTCTTCTTATACATTGGGATTTTTATGGCCTGTGGGGCAAAGCCCGAGGACTCTTATTACAGGAATTATTAGTGAAAGGGGGCGTATACACAAAAAATACATAATTTTGACACATCGTTTTTTAAAAATCCGTCCGTTATTAACGGAGGAGTAGTGTTTCGTATAAATCACCTTCACGTTAAAAGGATTACTATTCATATTATGGAATCGTCAATCCTAGTTAATACTTTCCAACACCAATGTTTAAAAAATTGAAGCTAAATGATGGTAAATTCATTTTATCACCATTGATCTAACACATGGTGATTTCAATGTAACATGGATCATAGTCCATTCTTTTAGAACATTTGTAGGTAAAAGATACTCCAGTTGTCTACATACGAATCTCACCAACCTTTGTATGTTTCAATTTATTGCATACACTCTTATATTCGTTACATATTTACCAAATGGTAGGCCTGTCAGTACAAACGTTTTATATTTTTATGCTGACAAAAGTCTTGGAGACACAAAAAGGTAGTTTCAAGCCAGGGATCTCAAATAATGCCTTTTACTGGACTGTGTTTCATTGTTGAAAAGCGCGTTGTGAGTGAAGCTTTCCACGTGTAAAACATTTATCTCTCTCTGGTTCAGAGAAGCCTTTCGGCTACGAGGACAATTGCCAGCTTTTAGCCGAGGGCTGGTCTTTACTTGCTAGCGTTTAGAACTCCGTGTGTTAATTGGGAGTTCTGGATGTTATCTATTTATGATTCATTTCTAACAAAGTCAAAACAAAGAAATTAATACTTGGGCGTTCGCTACCATATTGCAGAAACTCTTATTTACTTTAAACTAATGAATAGTTCTTAAGTGTAAGTTTAATTATTTGTAGCTCTTATTTTTATCAGGCCAATATTTTGTCATTGACTACGAAAGTCCATATAGAATATTATAAAATAGCATCATTTACCGATGCACTTACTGAACTCAATACCTTAACGTATAAGTAGACCGACAAGATTAAAAAACTAGTCCAATTTCGTTTGTGTAAGAGAAACATAAGAAAAAGTACAGTAGTTAGAAAATTATTTGTTGACCCTTCAATATGTAGGGTTAGGGATGATAATCAATCAACCATCATAACCACTCGAAATTAATTAATCGTGTTCGAATAACATAATGTACATACAAAGTAAAACACTACCATAAAATGTCAAGAAAGTGGCATATGAATGTTTCTTTGATTGAAAAACTGTTTTGATCATTTTAATTGTATTTTTTAACATTTAAACAACGGATTTGGTAAATTGTTGTTAAGTTTTTAAATTGTATGCAAGATTCGTAAATATGTTTTAAAATACTGTTTTCCTGTTGATACAATACGAGTGTAGTAGCTAATGTTCTACATCTAGAAATAGTCTTTTATGTTTAAGTTATATTTCAGGTACATCAGAGATCCAATTTGATAAGTATATAAAACACTAACACGATGGTTGAGACTTTTTAAATGCAATAGAGCGTCAAAATTGCTTGCAGCCGACAGCCGTGGAGTGGTTTTATCAGATATCCAAGTCCTTAGTCAATCAAGTGTCTTAACTTCGTAGATTCCCCTTTAGACCGAGATAAGAGTTGATCTACTTAGCAAGGTTATTGATCTGACAAAATGTTGTACATCACGCAATTCGCAGCACACAAATATAAAATACATAGTCTTGGACATGCACAATTCATTGTAAAAACAATTATACAGGGTGTCTAGTAAGTAAGTGCAAAATATTTAAGAATATGTTTAATGGGTCAAAATAAAGCGAAAATCAAGGATAACACTTTTTCCAAAAATAACTCGTTAGCGAGATATCCACCATTTTTGTGTGTGTTTTAAATGTATATTTATAGTCTATATCTTTATGAAATTTGTTATATCATTATATGAGGCCAAAAGCTTCTTTAGAAAATATCATAATTTACAAGGTTTTGGTTTAAAAACTGCGGCCGTTTTAATTTTTATAACCCCAAAACACGGCTGCTTTTATGAAAAAAGTTCTTACAACACATTTATTTAACTTTCGAAATTTCCTATCAAACAGCACCAAGTTTAAAAAATAAATTCGTTAAATGTTAAATCATTTGATGTATTTTTTATATATATTTATTTTGAGACGACTTGTCCAGTTTTAACTAAGATAAGAGCAAAAAAAAGGGAAAGAAAAACCCGTGTCCTCTTCCTGTATACTAATGTATTAAGAAGCAAAACAGGTGTTGTGTACAATCCTTACTCAATAATGCCGTCAACTTCCACGCCAGCTATGCCATACATTGTTGAGCTTATAAGTTTAGCTTTATAAGTATCGATTGCACACGTGTAGGATTAGAACCCGCGCATGTTGTCTTGTCTTATAGTATAGAAATAGAACCAACACTTGTGTTTTATCTATGCTTATAGACTGTATACTGAACTATCTTCAGTAAATTTGATTCGAAACCAGCTGTATAAAAAAGCAACTCTAGGTCCCTTAGTTGCCATTAGCTGTATGGGCTAAACATCTGTGTCTAAGGAACATGTCGGCCTTACTACGATAATAATTGTCTAAATGATTATTGTGTTTTTATGCAATACTGTAAACATAACAATGAGAAGGTTATGTTTCAATGTGTAATGAATTCTACATGACTGTGAACGTGTTAACATAGTATTTATTTTACGATATTTTTGGTTGTTGTTAACAATAATTCTGAGCTCGTGATAGTTTAAACAAAAATTCCAGCATGAGAAAATGTGAAATATGCTCCACAGAATGCATTGCCAAGTTCCAGTAAGTCATTAACTTTTTTAATGCTTCTTTTATAAGGGAAAGGGAAATAGAGAAAGAGGGTGGTGTCTATGTTCATTGATATACAATGGCGCAGCATTTATTTTATAAAACGAGAGACAATGTATTTTTAAACTTAATTTTACATGATTTCTGCTTTATTTTTTTAAGCCGTATCATTGCCTACCTTTAGTTTATAACGTTTATAAAAAAAACTTTTATCGTATCTGTCTCGCCGTTCTCGATCACTTTTGTGTTAGTTGCATTCGCAAGGATTCCAAAATCTTCGTTCCGTACACCTCCGGAACTTCAACAACTACAATACGTTGATTGGCGTCATAAAAAATTAAAAAATAACCTATTCAGACCACTTACAATAATTAACTAAACAACAATTATTTGAATATCAAAAACACTTTCATTGCTTACAACTAAAGTGCTCAGTTAGCAAACCATATACGAGTACCTAGATCATCTTATTCGGTGGTTTCATTATGGAAGCAGACAGCCTCATTACAGTATCAAGAACCCAACCAATATTTTTTTAAACCTTATTGCATTTCAATTATTTCTTCATATAATTTCCCTCCTACCCTCATTTATTTCCCCCGACATTCTCCTTACATAATTCCCCATATGCTTATTCTCATACATCGCCCCAATTTTCTCCGCAATCCACATACATTTTTCCCGACCCTCTCCAATAATTTCTCTAACCTTCCTAACCTGACCTTCTTCCCATATATTTCCCCCAGCCTTCCCTTCATATATTTTTGCTGACCTCCTCGTGTATTTCACCTATCTTCTCCTAAATTATAATATAAATATCTCCTAACATTCACCTTATATATTTCCCTTAAACCTTCACTCCTCATATACTGTATATCTCCTCCAATGATTCCCATAAACTTCTCCTCCCATATTTCCCTTACCTCCTCATATATTTCCCCTAACCATTCATTCCTCCTAACCTTCCCCTTTGTATTTTCCCCCTAACCTTCTCATACAAAAGCGCTACCTTTCCCACCATTTATTTTCCCTTACTTCCTCCCAATTTGTACCCTAACCTTCTCTCACATGTTTCTCCTTATCCTCGCCTCACTCATGAATTTGCCCCTTTGCTATTCTTAATGCTATTCTACAATGCTATTCTTCTAAGCGTCTAGCAGCGCGCCGCTTCAGAGTGGAGCAGGAGCCGGACCCGGAGCACGTGGTAAATATAAACAATAATCAGCGCTGCGGCGCGACCGCGACACTCACTGGTACTACAGCCTGTAGTAGCTGTGTATCGCATATCGGGGTTGTATCACACACACAATCACAGCCAGTCAGTGTATGGTGCGGTGTGTTTCAGTGTTGAGCCAGTGCCGCTACCAACGCCGCCGCCGCCGCCTCCAACGCCGACACCGCCGCCTCCAACGCCGCCTCGTACTCCTCCATCGCCCTGGTACTCGCCATCCGTCCAGTTCGCACTGATGGCCAAGTCCCCGGATCTACCCACGCCCCCGGACGGTGGTTGGGGATGGGTCGTCGTCTTCGCATCCTTCATGATACACATAGTCAGTGAGTACCTGTTTATAATGTTTTATACGTTCGGTTCTGTTAATTGTTGATAACGCGATAGGCGTTCTTATGACAAGAGACCAAAGATTATTGAGGATTTTGCGGCGTTAGACAAAGTTTTACGTAAAGTTGTTTCTTAAAGAAACTAAAAATGTACCTATATTCTTAGAGGGCTACACTTAAGCATAGGTTGAATTATATTATTTTAGGAAGTCTACAAGAGAATCTACCCCTCCAGGTTTACATGTAGGCTATCCTTGAAATTTAATTTAGGATAGTAATAATATAATCATTATTCATAGCAAAATTATACAGTAACGTGTTTATGAGCTAAATATTCTCAAAGAGGAAGTAATTGTTATAAACAGAGTTAGTTATTAGAATAACAATTGAGAAAACATAAAATCTGGAGAACCATCGTCCCATTACATTTTGAAATACTAAATTGTATTGTTAGGCATATATAATATATTAGTACAAGATATTGCTTTATAAAATATCAACTAAGCCTACCACGATGTTTCAAATAAAAAACCCTTCCAACGCGTTACTGGCAGAAGGGCTTCAACAGCACGAATCTAACGAGAGTCGTCTGATAATATGTAGCAAAGAAAAGCAATTTTATCAATTAAAGTCAAAACATCTTACTTTACTGAGTCATTAAGTTTATTAGGATAAATTAGGACAGTTTAAATCACAGTAATTGTACCAATGAAAGATCTAATTTACGTTCGAGAATGCATTTCACATTAGTATTCAAGACATTTAATTATCCTGCAACAATTTGTTAACAAGTTTGCCATCTCTTGGGTATCTCTTATGTACTGGCCATTCATTATACCATTTACAATTAATTCTTGATTTTAAAATTACTAATTACACAATTATTCAGTTGTATTATAATATTTACGACTACGACTATATGATGCCTAAAGTTGTTTTCTGATCCTATACATATTCTGTATTTTGTTTGAGATTACAGTTAGTAAAGTTATATCAAAATTGTTATTTCTGTACTGAAATTAAACAGTTCATTCTTTTGTGATAGTGGATCCAAAACAATAATAAAAAAAATAAAATAAAATAATATTAATATTATAGATTTGAGCTATAATTAAGTGCGGTAAACATGTTAAGATGTTATAAAAGAAACGCACCCTCAAGTTTTAGGTGGTTAGGCATTGAATGAAGGATATTTTTTTAAATAACTTAATTTCTAAATTTGTTAAAAACTAATAACGACTACGACGTTGAGTGGATAGGTACCGAACTAACTATTTAAATAACTGAAATAGACGCTAAAAAGCCCATCTTCAAAAGCGTTTTTCGTCTGTTACCTCGTTAATCCTTGTTAAATGTCGCATTCTTAGTATACCGACTAACAAAAAGAATGTCCTTTATACAGCATTTAAGACGCCGCAGACGGCTTAGCAACTAATTACAGTCTTTTAAACTAAATTTATCTTCACGAACATTAAGCAGTACTGTATTTTTTTTTTGTTCTGCGTATTTCTTTATTTAAATTTTGATAAACGGTTAGCATAAACTTTATAATAAAAGTTTCTGGTATACATTTTAATATTATGTTATACAATTGCCTTAATTGAAATTATTAGCAAGAAACATAGGGTACGAGGATGTAAAGATGGATTTAATTATGGGTTAGTCCTGTATATAATCCATCTATATTTTAAGTGTTCGTTTTTTTCTGTGTCATTGGCAACCTTATTTTTAAGGCAGACGTATTTATTTTTATAAATAAATTCTTTTCTCTTAAAAAAATCGAACCCTTCTTGCATAATGGATAATATAGTACAACGGTGTGAGACTGTAAATATCCCCTCCCAATCACGCACACTAACATTCATCTACAAATAGCTCTATAGTTACAGGAAACATCAACCCTGAAAAGACTCGCGAAAGTAATATTTTCTCAAGTAATATCGTAATGCAATATACTCAAGGCGACACGTGCAGTTTGTTTTGTTCTCACAAGAGAATATGAGTGTTACACTAGTTTTCCTGTGGTAATACTGTATTTACTCATGCTGGACAGGATGATGCAAGAGAGCCACTAGTTGGCGCATTGTTTGTCACACGTTCGTATCAGTAGCTGATAACAGGACCCGATGCATGAGTTGTTATCTCTTATCATTTGTCCGCTAGAGGACTTCACGCAGTCCGCTAACTAAACCATGGTAAAATACGACGCAACCACTAACTACACAAAGGGCATGTAGGTTATCGATGGCTTACTGAATGGAATTTCTTGTAGCTTTTGTTTTTTATGTTACGTAAAATGTTTACTGTTTAGGTTTTAACCACTGTTTAATGTTTCGGTAACATATTTTTTTCTGGGTTGACTATTGATGTTAATGGTAGAGCTAAAAATACATGACTATTGTCCATTCTCGCTCATATGAAGCCCATTAATACTTTCATAACGCAAATTCGTGATATAGAGGTCACTGGCCTCTAGCGATATATTCTTTTGTTTTTGTTCCAGTAGCCTATTAACAGCGTGTAAATTATGCCCACCATAAAAGAACGTCTTATTGTTTTCCATTCAATACTGTAAATTACAATCTTTGAAGTAGACATTCGTATATCACATAGCTATATTATGATTCTGTAATGTATGTTACAATTTATACTATCATATTTAAAATTTCCGAACCGTGGAAGATATCGATTTCCACTTATGCAAACAAACCAAACATTTTTCTTCAAGGAAAATCAGTTTTTTGAGGTTATTGTACAAATGATATTGTTTTTTACATGACCCTACCAGCACAGACAATGGAATAAACCGTGCTACCAGAAAACAAATGAATGGGGTTGGCCATGACATTTTCAGCGTACGTACGTATGTAGGGTACGTCAGTTGCGTACATACGACGTTGTAGTTGTGTTGTCACGTGGTAGTCACTTAGACACACCTGCAACAATCAACAATCACTACAGATATACGTCAGTCGAATGTGTATGCACTTACCACTGTTTAATGATTGTTCTTCAAGTATGATGTTGTTTCCTACTATTTCGCACATTTAAATTTTAGTGTTAGGCCTACTATAAAGAATCTATACGAAATGACAGTTAAGATTTTATGTTATATACTGAAACTAAAAAAAATCACATCTCTTTTAGTAGGTCTAAGAAACTTATGAAAATTAATTTACTTGTACACATTTTATGGATTTTAGTTAGTTTATTTGTAATAAAAATGTCTTAATGGATTTTAGTTGAGGGAGTAAAACTTCCGCTCGTCCGAGACCCCCTCTTTTACGACATAGATGGGCCATCAGGTTATAGTAGGGTCTAAACCATAATTTGAGAATGAACACACATCAAGATGCGATTTATGTTTGATGGTATCGGAGTATAGATAGGCACCAAAGGCAGAAATCCCAGCTCTGATCAGGGAGTCAAGTCAATAGAACGGCAGTGATGCTCTTTCCACCGTGATTCTTTTTACATTTGACTATGACGAAATAGATTCTTTTCCTCTGGAAACAGTTCTGTAACAGTAGATATCTCAAATTTGTATTCAATGTGTAAAGACGATCCTGCGCTGCAGTATCAATGGACACGTATTCCTAGAACCAGATGGTTACTTAACTCTCAGGGTTCACAACTGCGATTGTAGTTAGCTGCATTGCGAATTGTGAGCTACGTGTAAATACCAACAGTTTCATCAATGGTCGAGTCAAAGTTTCTGTTTAGACACAAAGGTCTCTTATCCTCAAGGTCATATCTGTTTTGGTGTTATGTAATTTGAGTTTGTTTAAACCTTCATTGTTTGAAGATCATCTTATTTACATGAGCTGTTGTTTGTTATTTTTGTTGACACAGTGTTTTGTTACACTCTGTAACACAAGATATGGAAGGAAGTTAAATTTCCGTTAATCTTTTTACAAAATAAGTTATTAGTTCAGTGCTTTTATATTAACCCTGCAATTTTTAATATCGGACGAATAAATCAATGCACTGTACGTTTATTTTTTTGAAAATGTAATAATCATCAGTATATTGTTTAAACCACGGTTCAGTGGCGAAGTCTTGTGCAGATAAGGCGTTGGTGGTTCGAGACCCGACCTCTACACGATGTTATCACTGTGACACCACTTCCCATGTGATGTTCGCTACAGTACTACCTATGAGTACGACTACCACTATATAATTTTGTATGCAACACAGAGAAGTAAGGTGCTTAACTTATTACCTAAGGCGTAAGGTAATGTAAGTAATTACCACATTAAAACGTAATTGTTGTTCCTCATTACATTGTTAAGAAGTAAATCCACTTTATTGTGTATGTAGTAACGGTACTCTGACCACTTCCAACTTGAAGTTGAAGGTTGTGTTTCGGTTCTAATCTGATCATATAGGGATTGGTTGATAAATATATATCATATATACCTGAAAACATAGTGGTAGACGTATAACGGAAAATGTTCGAGGGTTTGACATGATAGACTACTTTAACTTCACTGGCTTTTGATCACCGCTCGGGCGCTCGGAACATTTTGTATATGGCTATGGGGTAAGGAGATATATAAACGGCATCAGCAAACTGACACATACTATCTCTCATTTCCTTGTCAACAATCCGTAAAATGGGTAAGCGGTGGAAGTAACAATGACATTTTATAAGGGAAATTACGAAAATCTACAGAGTAGGAGGTTGTGTGATTTTGTTACCGGTAAAAGGACCATAACATATTTTAGTAAAAATCGTTTGGACCGCTTCTGTTAAAATCGGTTTGTTTTCAATCCTACTAATATTATAAGTGAGAATGTTTGGATGTATGGATGGACAGATGGTTGGTTGTTTGTGACAAGTAAAGGGGAAAATACTGGTCGGATTGGACTGAAACTTGGTGTGATGATAGCTCACATTCCCGATTAACATACAGACGCATTCTTATCTCAATAATCCTTTCGGGCTCCGCCCCAGTGGCTTTGGAGATTCTCATGTTAACCTTATGAGTATTCAT